ATTTTTGGCCACAGATGTATAAAGAGCTCTATGAGTATATTGACACATGTGTTACCTGTCAGACGAGGTCAACTATGAAAAACAAACCAGATACAATTGAAACCGGAATTCCTCCATATCCCATGGCAAAATTAAGTTTAGATCTATCAGGACCATATCCCACTACATTATCAGGCAACAAATACATAATTAGCTTTGTATGTTGGTATTCAGGATGGGTAGAGTCATTCCCAGTTAAGGACAAAACAGCAGAAAATGTTGCTCACCTAATAATAGAGGAAATATTTCCAAGATTTGGCTGCCCTTTGGCAATCGTCACAGACAACGGTACAGAAAACGAAAATAGAATTGTAAAAGAAACTTTAGACAAGCTTAACATTAAGCATATATTAACTTCCTATTATTCACCAAAATCAAATGCTAGAGTAGAAAGAAACCACCGTACTCTTCATGACATGTTAGCAAAACGAGTAAGCTCAAACCATTCAACTTGGGATATCTTTCTTAACCAATGTTTAGGTGCGATTAGATTTAATGTAAGCAAAACGACTAAACAATCACCATTCTCTTTGCTTTATTCTCGTGATCCCGTATTACCATTAGATAATATCCTAAAACCCAGAACTAAATACTATGGTGAAGACCACCATAAATCATTTATCCAGGTTCACCGATATGTTAAGAAAATTAAAAGTAAACAATCTGAGTATTTAAATAAAAACACTAAGAACGTCAAGTATGAAATAGGTGATCCGGTATTCTATAAGAACAATCGACGGTCAAACAAACTAGATAATAGGTGGACACCCTACTACAGAATAGTTGAACAAAAGGGACCCGTCTCTTTTATAATAAGAAACCAGTTGACCGGACAGACCACAAAGACACATGCCGAAAATTTCGCTTGGCAAACATTGACCAATGGGACATTCCTACTAACGACTCAAAGGTACGAAAAAGTAAATATGTAGTACCGCCCTCTGACACAAGTGATTCAGACCAGTCGGAACATGTAGACTTTTCTGACTCTGATTCACCTGATGACGATAAACCACTAGCACGACTAGTTGACAAATATAGGCGCGAAAGAGACAATTCGAGCTCTGAAGAGGATGACATACCTCTCTTCGAGCTTACGCAAAGATTGCAACAAAAAGCAAGGGAAAATGAAATGAATGAAACAGATGATGAAGAAAGCTCATCATCCGACATGTCAGATGCCGATATAAATTAGCATGCAAAAGAGATAGTTTTGGATGATGGGAAGGGCCCTCCTTGATTTCTTGAATCAATGATGCAGGGATAATGCATTAGATCTTGTCAATGATGAAAATGTTTACTATACGTGGTTTGCGAAGACGTAGACAATTATTTATCCCTTGAAACAACAGATCCTTCTTGCACGGATAATGACCAGATCTTTTGTGAAATATTTATACCTGCTGTCCGCGAATAACAGATAATGTAGGCTATTTTATAACTTAATGTCTATTACTTGTAAGACGAGACCTGTAATGGACGTTGTTTGTCTCCTTTTTCATAAGGATTAATATTGACTTAATCATCTGACCCGATATTTTTCAGGTCGAAGATGAAGACAGTTCTTACAATGCTCGTTGTATGCATTGTGATCCTCCCAACGACTGACAGTATTCTGACATATAAAAACACCTTGTTCAGACCTGTAAATAGAATTGCTACCAGTCGATCAAGATGGTTGTTGTTGACCTTAGTTCATGACATAAGACCTTATTTGGATTTCTTAGACAACTTGTCAAACGACATTGGACGTGCTTTATGGACAGTAGACAGCTATTATACCCAAGACAATTCCTCTGCAGAATATGGACTCACTTTTGAGAAAATGAAACTTGAAATAGTTTCACTGAGATTTGAAATTGACAATTTGTTAAAAATGACTCACGAATACAAAGACCTATCAATCAGCAAAAGATATAAACGTGCCTTGATACCCTTTGTTGGAAACGCACTTTCTTGGCTCTTTGGCACGGTCAGTTCATCTGACTTAGATAAAATTAGGGGTAACATAAATAAATTAGCTTCTAATCAAAAAGCCATCTCGCATGTCGTTTCGGAAAGCTTATCGATATTGAATGTATCACGATTACAAATTTCAAATAATCGAAATCAAATTAACGCACTTTCGGATGGATTACGAAAATTAGATTTAAAACTTGAAAATATAGTTGCACAATTTAAGAAACAAATTTTAAAATTAGAAGGTTTTGTACACCTTTTCTTAAGAACAAAATTAGTCCTTGATGATATTAAATTAATGATTTTAGATGCTATTTCGTATTCGACAAATACCAAGATTCTCCTTAGCATGCTAACACTTGGTCATCTCGGTCCATCCGTAATAATACCAGAAAAATTACGAAAGTTACTTTTAGAAATTCAAGATAAATTACCACCTAGTGTAAAATTACCGGCAAATCCCAAAACAAATTTATGGCATTACTATAAATCCTCACCTGCGTATCGTCCATAGAGGATCACAAAATCATTATAATTTTGAATATTCCGTTACTCGACAATGATGACCATTATATAATTTACAAAGTACATTCCCTCCCAGTTCCAATGATGACTAATCATGTTTTATCAAAATCAAAGGGCACATCCCGATTTGTGGCACAATATAAATTAGAAACAACTACGCTTGCTGTTAGTGTTGATAGTACGAAATATGCTTTAATAACAGATAATGAGTCCAAACAATGTACAAATCCTCACATGAACTTCTGTCAAATTAAGAGTCCAATCTTTCCAATCAACTTGAGCGAACTATGTGTTATGGCATTATTTTCTAAAAATGAGATAAAGACTTCAAGTAGGTGCGATGTTTCGGTAAAACCTAATGAAATTTTACCCACTAGTGTGTATTTCACTAATGGTTATTGGGCTGTTGTTGTGTGTGAACAAACTCGATTTTCAATTGTTTGTCGGGATACTCACCTCGAACATTCCTCTATTGTTGTCAAACCACCTGTTCAAATTATTCACCTAAAGCCGACATGTAAGGCGGTAAACGACCATGTAAGTTTACCCTCTCATAACACGAATGAGAGTACTTATTTTGATAACACTTCCTTCAAACATTTATTGACAGAATCAATTACCGATATTTGGAAACCAATTACCGATCACTTTGGCAATTATACACTTACTAAATTACCACCCAAATTAAAAGGGACTGAAACTATCCCCATCGAAAAATTAGTATCGGACTTAGATGACTTATACCCAATCGAAAACCTTAAAAAACAAACATGGCCATTGTGGGTGTGGGTTACTCTGTGTGTCGTCGGTGCTGTTGGTATACTCATACTTTATATAGTTTTCAAACTATATATGAAACCTCTTATGTTAAAATTCAAATCCCCATGGAGACGCTCTGATAGAAAAGGTGAAAACTCTGGTAAAGTCCCTACTGATCAAAGTACGGAGGCAATACCAATGGTAACGATGAACCAACCAAGCGCCCCAGATGATGAACGCTTATATCCTGATATACCTAGAGCCACTACATTGCATTCTCTCCTCAACCTTGCTCAACAACAGAGAGCCATCCAGAAAGCAGAGACAAACGTTTAACTTCATCGTATCCAAAGACCTACAACTCACCCAATACTTTATTCTCAAACGTCACTAATCCAGTATTTGAGTCATCTTTCAGCACAATCTTCCAGCAGCTATGTTAACTGAAACGTACCATTTGTTTCAAGACAGCTAAATCCTATTGACATGGTAGATATATCCAGAGAACAGACACAGTATGGTATCCACGACATATACAATACTTTTTGGTAATATGTTTAACTATAGTTTTAGGGGTCTGTGGGAAAAGCAAACATGATCAATATAACTTATCATATTCTTTTATTCTCTTTATGCTATTATTATTTTATATTGTATTTTTTGTATGGGTTTGGCTATATCAGACGGCGACGAGAATATCTTAGTTAGTATGTTTCGAGGATACCGAGCTGCTCAGTCGTCTGTCTGGTATTGCTGACCGCTATATTTCTAATTGTAATAAACAGTGCTTAAACATCGCAAGTACTTTACCTTCATTTACCTTCAAAGACACAACGTGAGGAAGTCCAACAAAATCATAGGCCTATAGTTTGACAGGAATATGGGGAAAATCTAAAGCCTAATAAAATCAAAAACAAATTAAATAACGGAAGTCCTACTCAAGCAAGGAAACAGTATTTACTTTTTTTTATTCGGGGTCTTTGTCTTATGATTAATTGATTGATTAGAATATTTCATGGCACCAGGTGTGAAAGATAGGCTACCGGTATGTCATGACGATTTTCTGTTGTCGGATTCTATGAGTTTAACCCTGTCAGCTAACCCCCTAATAAGCATAAACCTACCTGGGCCATTTGGGGTTATATGTTACTCGTCCTGGCTGCATTAAAAGAATGAATACGAGATCATCGTCGTTATTTTCAATAGCTACTTGCAACAACTCTTCTAGACGATAGGGCGCGGCCATGTTGAAAGTAGCGCCATCTACTGAGTATCCAGCACGGGATAGCGGAACGCACAATCGTACCGGTCACATACGCTTACACTTACGGATACGTAACCATCCAGTCAGCATATCCAGCCTGTTGCGGAACCTGTCTATTGAAGTTATAACCGGTTTAGTTTTAGACTTCCATGTAGTATCAACTTTTTGCCATGCCTGCTCATTTGCAAAAACCAAATATGGCAGTGGAATAGAATTTGAAGAATGGTATTTGAAACATAAGCCACATTGCAACATAAATTTCAGTGGATCGTCTAATGCTATGGAAGTTGAAGCTGCAAAAGTCCTGTGGTCTAGGTCTTTAGACTCTGGGTTTAGATACTCCACATTAATTAGTGATGGCGATTCAAAATCTTACGATCACATTAACAATTTAAAACTCTATAATGTTGAAAAACAAGAATGTATCAACCATGTTGCCAAACGCATGGGAACAGCTTTGCGAAAATTAGCCAAAGATGGCAAAAAACTAGGTGTGGTACTAGGTGGAAAGGGGCAGGGAAAATTGACTCAAACAACCATAAATAAATTAACAATTTACTATGGTAAGGCCATCAGAGAAAATCTTGACAATTTGGATGCAATGCGTGATGCAGTGTATGCAAGCTTTCTGCATGCTTTATCCACAGATGCAGTACCTCACCACAATAGGTGCCCCAAAGGAATAAACTCCTGGTGTTTTTACCAGAGGGCTGTAGCTGTCGGTGAAAAACCAGGTTCACATAGTGAATTGGTACATACTCCCATCAGCTTGGAAGTTGGGGATCATTTAAAAACTGTTTACGAAAGACTTGGGAGCGAAGCATTATTAAGACGCTGTTTGGGGGGGTTTACGCAAAATCCAAACGAAAGTCTGCACGCTATTAATTTATTTGCTCTTCATGGTTTGCGTGCTGGGGGTGCATCTAGTGCTGCAATTGGGGTATCCCTGATCGCCTTTTAAAGCGTCATGGGCGTTGGAAATCGGAGTGAGCTAAAGATGGATATGCTAAAGATAGGTAAGGTAAGGAAGACGTTTAGTAGTTTCTAAACGCTTGGATTATGATTTAATTTAAAGCAGTTTTTACTAACCCGTTCTTTGTTTCATATGGTCGACAGTGGGTCGCTGTAATACCAATAATGTGTTTTGATATTGATGGGTATGAATTGGGTGGAGGTTTTCATGGAATACGTGTTTTTGCATAAGAAAAACAGAATCCGTAGGTGCCTGTAAATCTGACCTAAACGCTGTAAAATGTGAGGTGCCACTGGGGTCAAATCTTTGTCATCTCCTTGTTATTAATGACCTGTCATTTCATGTAGGAAATTGTGCTACAAATCTCTGCTGATGACGGTACAGTGCATTTTTCTCACCATAACTTAAATTGTATTAATGGTACCCTCTTCAAGATGATTTGTTTAACATTAAAACCTGGTGTGAGGATAATAAGATGATTATAAATGCTATCTGTAAACAACAAATAAACAATTAGCATTAACTATAAATAATGTACCTATAAAGAATGTTACTAACACCGTATTATTGGACACTCACTATTGACCACACATCTTGACTGGGATTTTCACATTAAATTATAAGCTCTAAAATTTCACTTCTTTGTCAAATTAACAAAATCATTCCATTATGTAATTTGTTTTGTATTAGTTTTATTTTACCACTTTTT